TTATTGGAGATAGGAGTCTCACGGTCTCTCCTGCCCGGGTTGGCTTTGAACCGCGATCCTCAGATCTCAGCCTCCTGAGTAGCTAGGATTACAGGGGTGAGCCACCAGCGCCCAGCTATGAGTACATTTCTTATCAAGCGTTGTAGCCTCCTCCTTTGTTTCCCCTTCCCATCCCTTCCCATTACCCCCCTACCCCCAACCCCCAAAGTTGTAAAGTTCGTTTTTCTCGACATAACGACTTGTGCATCTCATTGTTGCAATGGGTCCACCTGTATCCCTGTTTAAGCGATTTGTTTTTTTCCCTTCCCCTTCACAAATTATACCAACATCAAATACAGTGAAAGCAGGGCTTATATGGTGGGGGAGGGACATACAAAGCAACAAAAAAATCATCTTATAGGGCTGGGAAGGTGGCTCAGTGGTAGAGCACTTGCCTTGCATGCTCAAGGCCCTGGGTTTGATTCCTCAGCACCACATAGGCAAAAAGAAAAAAGCCGGAAGTGGCATTGTGGCTCAAGTGGTAGAGCACTAGCTTTGAGCTGAAGAGCTGAGGGACAGTGCCCAGGCCCAGAGTTCAGGCCCCATGACTGGACCCAAAAAAAAAAAATCATCTTATAAATATGTTAGAAACAATCGCAAGAAAGAAACCATTTGAATCTTTATCTTGGGGCTCCTTTCACCTAGCATCAACTTACCTGACCTTTTCTGCTTGTCTCAGACATATACTACTTATTGCAAATAAGGGAAACCTTGGGACCTATGTTTCTTTGGGCCTGGCTTACTTCACTTAATATTTTTTCCAAGTCTTTCCATTTCCTAACAAATGGGACAATGTCATTCTTTCTGGTGGAGGCATAGAATTCCATTTTGTATATATACCACATTGTCTTGATCCATTCATCTACTGAGGGGCATCTGAGTTGGTTCCATATCTTAGCTATGGTAAATAATGATGCAGTAAACATAGTTGTGCTGGTAGCTTTAGTATGGTCTTGTTTGTGATCATTTGGGTAAATGCCCAAAAGTGGGATTGCTGGGTCATAGGAGAGCTCTATGTGGAGTCTTTTGAGGAACCTCCATACCACTTTCCAAAGTGGTTGAACAAGTTTACACTCCCACCAACAATGCAGTAAGGTTTCCTTCTGTCCGCATCCCCTCCAGCATCTGTGTTATTAGAGTTCTTGATTACAGCCATTCTAACTTTGGTGAGGTGGTATCTCAGTGTTGTTTTGTTTTGCATTTCTTTTGTTTTGTTTTTGTCAGTCGTGGGGTTTGAACTCTGGGCTTGGGTGCCTGTCCCTGTGCTCTTCAGCTCAAGGCCAGTGCTCTACTGCTTGAGCCACAGTGTCACTTCCGGTTTTCTAGTGGTTTATTGGAGATAAGTGTCTCATGGACTTTTCTGCCTGGGCTGGCTTTGAACTGTGATCCTCAGATCTCAGTCTCCTCAGTAGCTAGGATTACAGGCGAGAGCCACTGGTGCCTGGCTTTGATTTGCATTTCTTTTATGGCTAGGGTCACAAACTCCTTTTTGCCTGGGCTGACCTCTAACCGAAATTCCTAGGACTCTTGTTTCTACCTCCCAAGCAACTAGTATTCAGGTAGGAGCCACTGCCCCCAGCTTCTCTTGGTTATGCAGGCTTTTTACCCATTTACTTGCTGTTTGTTAGGAAAATGGAGGAAACCAGAAAGGGAATAGACGAGACTGGATTATCAACAGGCTAAGGACTGTGTTGCTGGCGAGGCATACAGACCTTCACGCTGGTGTGGAGATTGTTCGAAGGACTGGATTTTGGGGCCGGGTTTATGTAGGTCTTAACAAGGAAGCAGAAAATTAAAAAATGGGGCTGTGAAATCCTGGGGCCAAGGGCAGTCTTTGGCCAGACCCAGAGAATGCTCTGCCTGGGTGGGGGGGTTTTCAGCTAAGCCGAGGTCACAAGCTGGTGCTTTGCTTGATGTAACTGGGGGAATAAGGCGGGAGTCCGTCCCTTACCCTTCATTGAGACCTGAGCTTCCCACATAAGGAGCAGCCTTGGCATCCCCACTGTGAGATGATCCAAATCTCTGGATTTATGGAGACTGGCCTTTGTGGGATGCCAGTGATTAGAGAATTCCACTTGGTACGGACCTAATGTGAAGGTTCAAGCAAGTTCACTCTCGGAGTCTGCACAGGACATGGCCAGCAGAGCTCTTGGTGAAGGATGGTGGATGATGGATGGGCAGAAAGGGACATCCTACGGAGTGCTCTGCGGGGCTCAGCCTGGGTAGCCCGGACTTGATTCTCCCCGTCATCATTTCTCTTCTAGCCATTCCCATCAAATTCTCAGAAAAGCAGCAGGCTTCTCATTACCTCTATGTGAAAGAACACAGAGTTCGAGAAGGCACCCAGTCAGCCTGGCCTGAGAAGTGTACCCTTTTTGTCCTCAATGTGCCTCCATACTGCACAGAGGTAAGCTGCTAGCATCTGGTGTGAGACCTACACTTTCTGGAAGGGGAGCTCTTACGGCCCTGTCACACCTTGGGTGGAGAGATGGAAATGCCCCACTGGATGGTATCTCAGGTCGCCTCTGTTGTCAGAAAATTGATATTTATGAGTTTTTAAGGGACTGAGGATGTGGCTTAGTGGTAGAGTGCTTGCCTAGCATGCATGAAGCCCTGGGTTCAATTCCACATATAAATAGAAAAGGCTGGAAGTGGCTCTGTGGCTCAAGTGGTAGAGTGCTAACTTTGAGCCAAAGAAGCTCAGAGGGCTGGGAAGGTGGCTCAGTGGTAGAGTGCTTGCCTTGCATGCATGAGGCCCTGGGTTCAATTCCTCAGCACCACATAAGAAAGAAGAAAGCTGGAAGTGGCGCTGTGGCCCAAGTGGTAGAGCGCTAGCCTTGAGCTGAAGAGCTGAGGGACAGCGCCCAGGCCCAGAGTTCAGGCCCCACGATCAGACCCCCCCAAAAAAAAATTAAAAATAAATAAATAAGCTCAGAGATAGCGCCCAGGCCCTGAGTTCAAGCCCCACCCCAGGACTGGCAAAAAAAAAAAAAGAAAACCAAGTTTTTAGAAATTGTCAGGAGCTGAGCGCCAGTGGCTCATGCCTATAATCCTAGCTACTCAAGAAGCTGAAATCTGAGGATCACAGTTCAAATCTGGCCCAGGCAGCAAAGCCCATGAAACTCTTAACCTCTAATTAACCACCAGATAACGGGAAGTGGTGCTGTGGCTCAAGCTGAAGAGCTCAGGGACAGCAGCTAGGCAAAAAAAAAAAAAAGCACAGCTTTGAATTCAAGCCCCATTACTGATACAAAAAAATACGAAATAAGACAGGCTTTAGGCGAACAGATGTACAGCTCTGCATTCCACACACCAGATGAACCCTTGTCACCATCACATACCCCGGAGGTCCCCTAAATCCCATCCTACCAAGGACCACTGCCACACTGACCCAATACCGTTGACGTGGTTGTATTTGACTCAGGTAGTAAGTGCAGCTGTCTTACAGGATCTCAGGCACATCAGAAATGTCTCCTGTGTTGTGATGCCCACAAGGCAGACATGGACTCAGAGTCCTTCCCAGCGCTGGCTCCCTGGCAGTGCCACACCGGGTGGGAAGCCACTGTGGATGCTCACATGCTGCTTCTCTCTGTCCATGGCAGGAGTGCCTGTCACGTCTCCTGTCCCCCTGTGGCCCCATCAAGTCTGTGGAGTTGCAAGAGAAGCCAGACCTCACCGAGAGCCCAAAGGAGCCAGAGTCAAAGTTTTTTCAGGCCAAGCGTGTTCCGGTAGGCCTCCAAGGCTCAGGTTCCATTGGAACGGGGTGTGAGGTGGGGGGGGGGTGCAGGGGAGGGCTCAGCAGTGGAGCACATTCCCTGGAGCTCGGGACTGCTCTATGATGTCAGTGCTACGGTGCTGATCCTGTCCCAAAAGTGCCATGTGCTTTGTCTTCCTGCCTGCCCAGCCTCCTCAGGCTCGGGCCTCCGCCTCCAGCGCTGTCCTTCCCACGCCCGGGTTCTTTTAGACCCTCCAGCACTGAGGAGTCTCGTGACGTGAGCAGCCTGTGGTCTGCAACAGGCCTGGCTTCCATAAGCTCACCCTGGCCAGGGCAAGCCTGCGTCTCACCAAGTTCCTCAAACCGGAAGCAACCGGAAGGAAGGCCCCTGTGCGCCCTCCCTGGGGAAGTGCGTGGAGAGCCAGGAAGCATGGCTGCCCTCACCTGGCCTGCGGATGCTCTCTGCCATCCTGGTGGCTCAGGAGCAGCCTGGTGCCATCTCCCCAGGTCCAGCAGCAGGTCCAGTGATTGCAGGCGAGGGGACCGGCTGCTGGCCCACACTCTGCCTGCCCTCCCCGCAGGGGTTCCAGGTGGCCTACGTGGTGTTTCAGAAGCCAAGTGGCGTAGCTGCTGCCTTGAACCTGAAGGGCCCTCTGCTGGTCTCTACAGGGAGTCACCCCGTGAAGAGCGGTGTCCACAGTCAGTACCGGCCCGTGTGCCGTCCCGTGCCCTCTGCCGGCCCGTGCCCCGCCCGCTGTGTGTCCCATGCCCCCACCTGCCATGCCATCCCATGCCTGCCGTGCTGTCCTGGGCGCTTGAGTTCCCTCTGTGATGTCCTGTCCCTGCATGCCATCCCATGTCCCCTGCCCGCTCTGCCATCCTGTGCCCGCTGTCCTGTCCCATGCCTGGGCCCTGGGTTGGCAAGAGAACCCTTCGGGGGTGTGGGGGAGCATCTGTGGACATCACAAACCAGGCTTCTCCCCTAGAGCAGCCCCCAGGCGGCCTGGGTCTGGGCGCTGGGCGGGCAGAGGTGAGTGAGGGCCGCCTGCTGCCGGTAGCTTTAGCACCACCCTGGCCGCCAGTGTGCCGTCCCGGGCCAGTGTCAGAAGACGCCAGCTTGACCGGCTGCTTCTGGGGCCCGGATGTGGGGCTGAGGCAGCTGTCCCTCCATGCCCTCTCCTGTCAGAGTGGATCAGTGACTATAAAGACGCGGTGCCCGACCCCGAGGCTTTGCGGGAGGAAGTGGACACGTTCATGGAGGCCTACGACCGGAAGATAGCTGAGGTAGGGGTTTGTGTGGGGACCCTGGGGGGGCGCGCGTGCCACTGTGACAAAGTGGCCCACAGCACTGTAGGATGGCTTGCTTGGGGCCAGTGGTTGCAGCCGGTCCCTGGTTGCTGTGTGGAGTGTGGGGCAGCCTGGCTGGGCAGCATCGAGTGTCAGTGGTCAGTGGGGGGAGGGGCAGTGCCGGCACAGCTGGATCGCCACGCGGAACGCGAGGGGCGAGGGGCAGCTCTCCTGCCAGGCGCGCGCAGCCACCTGTGCCTCATGCAGGAGGAGAGCAAGGCCAAGGAGGAGGAAGGAGTCCCTGACGAGGAGGGCTGGGTGACGGTGACGCGCAGGGGCCGGCGCCCCGTGCTGCCCCGGACGGAAGCTGCCAGCCTGCGTGTGCTGGAGAGGGAGAAGCGGAAGCGCGCCCGCAAGGAGCTGCTCAACTTCTACGCTTGGCAGCACCGCGAGACCAAGATGGAGCGTAAGGGCCACCCCGGGCGGGCAGGCGCGCGCGTGTGCACAGAGCCCAAGGCTGCGGGGTCCGAGGCAGCTCAAAATACCCAGCAGCTGGAGCTCCAGCTGCTGACTTGCGGGGTTGGGGGTGTCTGTGTGCCCTCCCATGAGTAGCGCTCCCTGCCCACCACCTGGTCTCCTGCCTCTGGCCTGGGTATGGGGAGACCCGCCCCCCCCCCCAGCTCCCATGCTGTCCCCAGACCCTGAGCTCAGGACAGTTCCAGAGCCTGTCCTTCCTTGGCTCCACGCCCCACCCACTCTCTGAATTTGGTGGCATTGGGGTCCCCAAATTCCTAGGCTTCTGCTTCCCGGGGAAGGGCCTCTCGGTGAGTTTTGATTAAGGCAGGCTGCCACCTCCGCCCCCAGCCCGCAGCCAGGGCAGCTCCCTGTCCTTGCCCCAAAGCTGAGAGAGGACCGGGAGAGTGCCCTCTAGTGGGGACAGCGGGCGGCTGTCTGACCCGCCCTGTGTCCCCTCGCCCCAGACCTAGCCCAGCTGCGGAAGAAGTTCGAGGAAGACAAGCAGAGGATTGAGCTGATGCGAGCCCAGCGCAAATTCCGACCCTACTGAGGCCGGCGGCCGTGCCTGGACCGCAGGTGGTGACCCGAGGGCCCCGCCTGGCATCCACCCGTGCTGGAACATCCTCAGGACGTGGCCTTGAGGAGGCAGCTCCCCCGCCCGCCTGGACACCTCCCTTCAGGAAGTCAGACTGACCATCTGCCCTTCCTCCCTTGCCGTGAAGCCGCCTGGACAGCCTGGACAGCCGTGAGAGGACAAATCTTTTATGTCCATCCAGCCTGGCAGCAGCAAAGACTCCAGAAGCCAGCCTAGCCCCGGCTTCCTTCAGCCCCACCAGCTCACCCACGCTCACCCACGCCTCACTCCAGAGCGGCCCCCACACCTGCCCCGTCCCCTTGAGGTCTCAGGTGGGGACGCTGCAATTCTGCCCCCGACCTGCTTGGGAGTTTCTGCTGCCCAACTTAGCCTTCAAGATCAGCGAGGCCGAACAGCCTGCGCACTGCGTCCACTCCGCGGGAAAGAGCTGACGATGCCCGCCGCGCAGGGAGCCGTGTTCGTGAGGATGTGGTGATGCCTTCCACCGCCATGTGCTGGAACTACTCCCGAAGGCGCGGGCTCAGGTGGCCAGCCACCCCGGGCTCCCCCCTGGCTGCTGTCCCCCAGTGCCTCAGGAACCCCCACGGGCTTGGAGGCCACCCAGCGGCCTGGGGACACGAGCTGTGCCAGTGTAGCACAAAGCTGGGCCATGGTGAGGGTTGCTGACTACACAACCCTTTCTTCAGAGGGAGCACGGGCAGGTTTCAGACGTGCTCCCTGGGAGAGGCTGCCCTTCCCGGAGGGCGTCAGGTGTGTGCCGCAACATGGGCCCAGATTATCCACCATGGCCTCCAAGTGCCCGATGCTCCCAGCTCCCCGGCAGGGGTCACGCTGACCGCACTGGCCCCCCACCCTGTGGCCAGCACCCCACAAGTGCTGGGAACAAGGGGTGGGCCTGGCCTGGCAGCGCGTGAGGTCAATAAATCTGGACAATTCTGCACTGTGTGACCCCAGGGCTAGGGCTAGCGCCATGGGGCGGGTCTGCTGACTCCTTGGGGGCAGCAGTGAGGGGAAGTCCCCGAGCCTCACCTCCACTGTGAAGACCCGCACCTCCTCCTCTGTGCTGTCCTCCCCCCCGCTGTCCTCTGCACGGTCCTGTGAAGGGCGAGGTGGGGCTTCCCCGGGCTGCCGCTCCATTTTCCCACCGCCAGCTCCTTTGAGCCAGACAACCTGCGGTTCAGCTGTCAGTAGCAGCCCACACCCAGCCGGCCCTGGGCCGGGCACAAGCAGAGTACTTTCCCCATGGCCAGCCAGGGGGCGGCGGTCCCAGGCCCTGTGCTCACCACTGGGAGTGGAGCCGAGCCGCGGGAGCACGGCTGCCTTGCTGTCTCTTGTTACATAAGTCACGTGCTGCTGACAGTATGCCATCTTGTGGCATTGTGTGTGCCGGTTCTGGGGCTTGAACTCAACGACCAGGTACTGTCCCCAGATCATTTTTGTTCAGGGCTAGTGCTCTAGCACTTGAGGCACGGTTCCACTTCTAGCTTTTTGGTGGTGAATTGAAGTTAAGAGACCACAATCCTCGGATCTCAGCCTCTTGAATAGGATTGCAGGCATGAGCCATCAGTGCCCAGCTGGTGTGTGTGCCTGATGGATCCTGAAGCTTCGACTTGGCCTTGGCATTCTCCCTTTTTATTTTTTTTACTCAAGGCTGTTGCTCTACCACTTGACCCCAGACCCACATGGTTTTTTTGGTGGTTACTTGGAGATAAGAGTCGCAGACTTCCCTGCTTGGTCTGGTTTCCTGTGTAGCTAGGATTCCTGGTGTGAGCCACCAGCACTGGCTTGTCTACTGGATTTTATTTATTTATTTATTTTGGGTCCGGTCGTCGTGGGGCCTGAACTCTGGGCCTGGGCGCTGTCCCTCAGCTCTTCAGCTCAAGGCTAGCACTCTACCACTTGAGCCACAGCGCCACTTCCGGCTTTTTGTTTTTGCTTATGTGGTGCTGAGGAATCGAACCCAGGGCCTCAGACATGCAAGGCAAGCGCTCTACCACTGAGCCACCTTCCCAGCCCCTTTATTTTTGATCGGTCCTGGGGCTTGAACTCTGGGCCTGGGCGCTGTCCCTCAACTCTTCAGCTCAAGGGGAGCGCTCTACCACTTGAGCTACAGCGCCACTTCCGGTTTTCTGGTGGTTTATTGGAGATAGGAGTCTCACGGTCTCTCACAGGCGTGAGCCACCAGCGCCCAGCTCATGAGACTTATCTCCAATGAACCACCAGAAAACTGGAAGTGGCTCTGTGGCTCAAGCGGTAGAGTGCTCACCTTGAGCTGAAGAGCTCAAGATACAGTGCCCAGGCCTGAAGTTCCAAGCCCCACAACCAAAAAAAAAAATGTCACTTTTCTTCCTGGGCTTTAAATCATGATCTGCAGGTATCAGCCCCCTGAGTAGCTAGACAGCCAAGTGTGAGCCATCAGAGCAGCTATTTTTTGTCTAGTTTTAGTTCAAGGGCCCACGGTGTTCTATAATCATTATCAACATGATTACTTAAAATTACAGAGCAAGTAACAAACGTGAGGACCAGCTGTCCTGCACATGCAGGGCCCTGGTTCAGCCCTTGCATGGGGAGAAAATGGTCTTAGGAAACTGAAGAGCCATTTGTCAAAAGCTAAAATCTTCCAAACCTCACCCTGCACACTAGGTAAACACTTCGGCAAATACTGAGCGCAAAACAGTATTAGAACCAAACATGAACTTTTAATGATGGGCCCCAAATCCACAGAATCAACTGCAGTAAAATAATAACTTTGCAGGAAAACAGACCGCTCTAAGCAAAGGCAAAAGTGTAGGGAAAGGTGTATTTATACTTCAGTCTCTCAGGGTGGGAAGAGAAGATCATGAGACTTTTTTTTTTTTTTTTGTCTTGAACTCTGGGCCTGGGCACTGTCCTTCAGCTCTAGCTCAAGGAGAGTGCTCTACCACTTGAGCCACAGCACCACTTCTGGTTTTTTGGTGCTTTGTTGGAGATAGTCTCATGGGCTTTCCTGCCTGTGCTGGCTTTGAACTGTGATCCTCAGATCTCAGCCTCCTGAGTAGCTAGGATTACAGGCATGAGCCACCACGCTCGGTGATCGTGAGATTCTTATCAACAATTATAAAAAGCCAGAGCTGTGGCTCAAGTGGTAGAACATCAGTATTAAGCAGAAAAAGGCCAAGCAAGGGTACAAGGGCTTGACTTCAAGCCCCAGTACCAGCATGTGCATGTGCGTGCACCTGAGCACACACACATACATGGAAAACAAAATTGTCATATATGGAAAGATCCAAAAGGAGGGCTGAGTGAAGAGAGGAAGGGGAAGAGGCTCCATGAGATTTCCTATTCTGCGATTCTTAAATCATGGGATTGAGCACCTCCTCAAAACTCAGTAGTAAAATTGAAAAGCCAAACAGAATGATGATTAGGCTGGCACACCTGCCCAGCCCCTTTGGAAACAACTCAACCCCGTAAGAAGGGAGCGTGGTGAAGGTGGGTGGAGGGCATCCGGCCTCTGCTAGACAAGACATGCTTGAATACAGAGGTGACTCTGGCAGAAAGAAAGCGATTATAGAAGCATTACGGAGAGCGATTTTCTGTAATTATTAGGTTTCCACCCCCTCTAATTAGAGATTGTGGAACTCTTAGATGACAAATTTAGATGATAAATGTAATGCTTAATTGTTGATAGAGATTCAAGCCAGGCAATGCAACTCAAATGCTTAGAGGAGCATGTAATTGGAGATTTTCTGCTTGTTACCCTCTCCGGTCACCTCAGACTAATGGATCCAAGGCCCAGGCCCTGGGTTGCCCCGGACTCTCCCCACAGCCGCCATGCCCAGATGACCGGGCACTCCTGCCCCGGCGGGGCCATAGGCCACCGGGCTCACACCCTCTTCCTTCCTCAGGCCGGGGCTCTGGCTGCTCAGAGCAGGAGAAATACTTCCCAAAGGGGGTTTTTAGAGGGAGTCACATTGCTTTCCTGCCCACTTCTCCCCTTAACAGCTGCCATTGCGCCTGCGCCACCGCCACCACCTCCTCCTCCTCCTCCTCCTCCTCTGCCTCCTTCTCCTCTGCCTCCTCCTCCCCCTCCTCCTCCGGCTCGAACTCAGGGCCTGGGCTCTGTCCCAGGCTGCTTTGTGCTCAAGGCTAGTACTCTACCACTTGAGCTGCAGTGCCACTTCTGGCATTTTCTTGGACTTTCCTGCCTGGGCTGGCTTTGAATGCTGATCCTCACATCTCAGCCTCCTGAGTAGCTAGGATTACAGGCGTGAAACACCGGTGACTGGCTCTGATCTCTTAGCTCAATACTAGCATTCTAGCACTTGGAGCCACAGCTCTACTTCCAGTTTTCTGGTGGTTTATTGGAGATACTAGTCTGATGTACTTTCTTACTCAGGCTGGTTCCCAACCTCAATCCTCAGATCTCAGCCTTCTGAGTAGCTAGGATCACAGGCCTGAGCCACCAGCACCTGGCTTCATCTTTTTCTTTTCTTTCTTTTTTTTTTTCTTTTTTGGTTGGTTGTAGGGCCTGAACTCTGGGCCTGGGCGCTGTCCCTCAGCTCTTCAGCTCAAGGCTAATGCTCTACCACTTGAGCCACAGCGCCACTTCTGGCTTTTTCTGCTTATGTGGTACTAAGGAATCAAACCCAGGGCCTCATGCATGCAAGGCAAGCACTCTACCACTGAACCACCTTCCCAGCCCCTTCTTCTAAGAGTCCATTTTCCTACACACCTAAGCAGCCCCAGCAGGCAGGGGGGTGGGGGGCACTCACAGCACCATCACCCATGGCTAGGACTCCGCAGGGCGGCGGCTGGGCCTTACCTTCTCTGAGCCTTCCCAGTCCTAGAGGTTAGGCACACTGTCCTCACACCTACACTACGCCCAGGGGGTGGCAAAAGCCTAGTTGGCTTTAGTCCTTCCACATCTGTGGGAGACGGGCTAATAAGCAAGGAAGGGGAGCAGAGACCGCCTTGGCAGGGGGGACCTGGCCAGGGACAGCGCTGGTGGGGCAGGCGGA